AGCCTAAGAGTGTAACGACACTTGAAGAAGAGGTGTGGCCCCGTTTCTTGCTCTCTCTTGCATAGTGGACAAAGACCACAATTGACCCAACCACGCTTCTCCAATCGATCGGCGGTCCAAATTCGGTCTTGCAGGGCAAGCCACGCAAAGAATTTTACCTTAGGGGGTGTCCAAGCCTTCGAAACCATACGGTCCATGGGAGAGAGAGTCAATCCAAGGAACAGAGCCTTGTACGCAGTGGCCGCCGAGTAGATCCCATCATTCGCATGTTTCCAAGTAATGTCGTCTTCGGCTTGGTCGTCAAGGGGGAAGTCATGAACAAGCATCCAAAGAGTGAAGAATTCGGTAATGTGGCGAATGGAGATAACAGTGTTTGGATTGATTTTGAGAATCCATGCATTGTCATAGAGGGCTTCACGCACCTTCCAATTCTTTCTCCTTGAAGCCTCGTAGATTAATGGAGCAATATCCATGGGTTTCCTCCCAAATAGCCAAGGGGAGTCCCAGAACGGTGTTTTTGCACCGTCACCCATAGTGATAGTTGTAGAGGCATAGAAAAACTCGAGGTCCTCGGTGGTGCAAGGGTTACCAAACCCCACCCAAGGCTTGTGGGGCTCCTTCCATTCATACCACAGCCAACGAAGACGTAAAGCCCGCGAAATTTTTTCGGCGTTGAGTACTCCCAGGCCACCATATTCCTTTGGCCTACAAACTATTTTCCAATTGACTTTGCACTTGGCTCCCGTTGTCTTATCCGCACCGGACCATAGGAACGACCTCTCCAATTTATTTAGGTTGTTGAGCGTACTTGGCGGCACAATGAGAGGCGTGATTGAGTAGATCGCTTGGGATGAAATGACTGATTTGACAAGTGCCGTGCGGCCGATGGTAGTGATATTTTGGCCGTCCCAAGTGGCCAATTTGCTCGCCGCCTTGTCCTCAAGGTATTGGAAATCCACCTTTCTGAGCCGCTAAACAGAGAGAGGCAATCCAAGATACTTCATCGGGAAAATAGCACGAGTTGCAGGCAAGCTCTGAAGAGTGTGCCCAAGATTAAGATGACCACATCAAATTGGCACAACGGAGCTTTTCTGAAAGTTGGTGCATAGACCTGTCACTTCGCCAAAGCCTCTCAAGATGGAAGCCAGATTGTCAACGTCCCTTTTGATAGGAGCCAGAAAAACAGCAGCATCATCCGCATATAGGGAGGTTCTCACCGTAGGCCCCCGCCCACGTATCTTGTGAAGAAGGCCTTTCCGGGTTGCCAAATCCAGAATCTTATGCAGCGGATCAATCGCGATGACGAAAAGCAGGGGGGAAATGGGGTCCCCTTGCCGGAACCCCTTCCCATGCTTAATGGGAGGGCCGGGGATGCCATTTAAGAGAATACGAGACGATGACGAGGATAGGAGTGCGGCAATCCAAGCCCGGAACCTATCCGGGAAACCCAAACGCTGAAGGAGATCTAACATGTAGCCCCACTTGACGGAGTCAAAAGCCTTTCTTATATCCAGCTTGAAAAGAAGAGACGGGGTCTTGCACTTGTGTAAGCGCCTAGCAAAATTACGAACGCACATGAAGTTTTCATGTATACTACGCCTCTTTATGAATGCACTTTGCGCGTTGGAGACAAGGCAGTCCATGTGTGGAGCCAGCCGGAGCGAAAGGACCTTGGCAATTATTCTTGCGATGGCGTGGATGAGACTGATAGGTCTGTAATCAGAGATGCCTTCCGCGCCCTCCTTTTTGTGCAATAGCACAACATTGGCAGAATTCAACCAATGCAGGTTGGAGGTGTGGAGAGAGTCAAAACACTGGATGACTCTCATGATCGTAAACTTGATGATGCCCCGACACTTCTTGAAGAAGACCCCTGTGAAGCCATCCGGACCGGGCACCTTATCACTAGGCATCTCCTTTATGGCCGCCCAAACCTCATCTTCCGTGATGGTGTTGCCCAGGTCGTGCAAGTCATGGGTCTCTATGCGAAGCTCCTCCCAGTTGAAGTCTTTGTTGCTACTGCATCCTGTACCCATGATCTCGGTGAAGTGGGAATGTATGATCTTCTCTTTTTCCTTGTGTTCGGTCACCCACCCATGCACATGTTTGATCCGGTGAATGTGGTTTTTCCTCCTTCTGGCATTGATGCGTCGGTGGAAGAATTTTGTGTTTGCATCCCCATGCTTCAAATTTGCCAACCGAGCACATTGACTCTTCCTAGACCTCTCAAGAACCGCCAAGCTAATCACCCTCCGCTTGAGTCTCATGCGCAAGTCTCGCTCCTCAAGAGAGAGAGCCCTTTCCTCTTGCGCGATGTCGAGGTGGAGAATCACAAGCAGGTCCGCATGGAGCTGAACCTTAGCCTTGGAGAACAAGTTCTTGCTCCACTCAGATAGACGGATGGCAGTTTTTTAGCTTATGGTACAGAACTTGGTACGGCTCCGAGTGCCCGACACGCTCGTCCCAGGCCTTTTGCACTACCTCGGAGAAGCCAGGGAAAGAAGCCCAGAAGGTTTCAAACTTGAAGGACCTAGGCCTTCTGGGCCCTTTATCATCAGCAAGCAGCAGGGGGCAACGGTCGGAAAGTGAAGATGACAGAGCATGTAGGACATGGGTGCTGAAGGTCGTATCCCACTCCGCATTGCAGAAGAAGGAGTCAAGCTTGCAGAGAGTTGGGTTGTTCCGCTCGTTGCTCCAGGTGAAGCGCCGATTCTGGAGGTGAATTTCCTTGAGCTCACAAGATTGTAACGCAGCCCGAAAGCGATTGATCCTACGCTGGTTGAAGATTCTCTTGTTTTTGTCGCGTGCACGGTAAATTTGGTTGAAATCCCCAAGGGCCAGCCATGCAATCCCATTAGGAGGCTTGCGGGAGATAAGCTCGGCAAAAAACGCATCTTTGCAGGCGTGGTCAGTTGGCCCATAAACGGACGTGACCCTAAAACAGACGTCAGTCGCACGGGCACGAACGGTACCAGAGAGGCAATAGGTCGATGCAGTGATATCGAAGACGTCGAGGACCGTGTCATCCCAAAGTAGCAGAATCCCTCCCCTAGTCCCTAGAGCCGGGCGTTGCGCAAAGCCTTGAAGCCTGTTACCACCAAGGAAGGCAGCAACGAATTTATCAACGCATCCAAGCTTAGTGTCTTGCAAACATACAAGCTGGCATGAGGAGGCTGCAATCGTCGCGCTAACAGTTGACCTCCGCGCCGGGTTATTTAGACCGCGAACATTCCAACTTAATGTGTTGATGGGCTGTGTCGTCATGGGTCACACCAAAAAACAAAAGACCTCTGGCAGCGACAGCAGCTGTGCACGGCCATCAGGCAGAGGAGAGATGCTCCAGCGTCAGCATAACAACACAGCAGACCGACAACCAAAGTGCATGATTTTTCTCTCATGAAACAACGAGCACCCACAGCACTATCACACTTGATACAACGCACACCCACAACACTAACAGCACACAGATCACCCCATGGAGCACTGAGAGGGTGGACTAACATAAGCATCCGTAGTACCCTAACAGACAAACTAGGAACCTCAAGCATCCTGGATAGCTACACCTCCCTCTTGAGCAAGCTCCAGTGCTCCCTCTCCACCATGCTCAATCAGTGCGTCCTCGACGCCGTTGACCGCTGGGTCATCCAGATGAAAGAACTCCCTCATGGCCATAATCACCTCTGGAGCTAGCTGGTCCTTGAACTTGGAAGTGAACTCTTCCAGAGTTGCCTCCGTCACATCTTTGCCATCTCTGGTGATCCCGAGCATGCGGCAGACCATCTTCTCGGCGACTTTGGTCGCTGGCATCGTAGCAACACTTGCACCAGTACGTTTGTTCCTCTGGAGCGAGAGCCCACCCTTCCTAGATATGTGCACACCAGCCAACGTCTTCCGGCGAGCTGTGGGAGGCCGTGGGGGTGGCGATGGAGGCGTGGCAAAAATGCTCTGCTGCCTCACCTCGAAGAGAGGCTCCAGGAGATCTTCAGTGGCCTTGGCTTGCGCACCATGCACCGGTGAAGGGGTCGTGCGTGATCATCATGGCATGTTTCGCGCGGGGGTTGTCCTTTTTTTCTCTAACGTCACTGTTCCCGAGCATGCGGAATTGTTGGCTTGCAGCAGAGGAGTCCAATTAGCGGTGGAGCTTGGTGCAGAGAATAGCAAAACTGTAAAAAAAAATCTGAGTGAGATAAAGGACTTGGAACTTGCCCAAACTGTTTGGGCCAAGGCCGGCCTCCTGGACTTGGCAATCTCACTCATGTGAATCTGCAGCAGATTTCTTGGCCTTTGAAATAGCGAAGGAGGCACATGGTGCGCTCTGGCATGTCTTCTTTGCAGCTGCTGCCGTAGTGCTTTGGCATGATCGGAACGAGCAAGTTTTTCATAACAAGTGTTGGACAGCTGGGAGGATTCTCACTGAGGTTGCCGACCTGATCAAGCTATGGAGACTGCGAGCACCCGAGGAAAATGTTAGGGAACGTCTATCTTCTTGGGCTGATACGCCTACATGTAAAATGACTTTGGTCACCTAAGCTACGGCCTGTTTTGAAAGCATAAGGTAGAACATGATCTACCTTTTCTTTCGAAAAAAAAGGACTGGGAAGAGCTCGAGGCTAAAGATTGTCATACTTATTTTGTTTAACTCTCTGCAGTAGAAAGACGACATAAGAAGAATCGTTCAACTTTATTAATCAATAATTATTCGAGCCTAGAAAGTAGTATGCGAAGTTTGCATGCATGCAAGCATACTACTCCCTCCATTTCTAAATACTTGTCTTTCTAGTCATTTTAACAAGTGACTACATACATAGCAAAATGAGTGAATCTACACTCTAAAACATGTCTACATACATCCGTATGTAGTAGTCATTCAAAATGTCTAGAAACATGTCTACATACATCCGTATTTAGGAACGAAGGGAGTAGTAATCAAACGTACGCTGGATTCTAGTAAATCGAAAATGCCTCGCTCAAATCATCAAAATCGAGATCTAGTATAATGTCTACTGCGGGTTGGGTGGCCTAGAGTTGGCGGCAGAGACCCTGGATCCCCACTCGAGGAGCTCCTTGCTGGTGTCGTCCTTGTGCGCCACCACCTCGATGAAGCACAGGCAGTCCTTCTTCTCCTCGGTCGCCGTCGCAATGGCCGCCATCAGCTCCTCCTCGCATGTCACCTTGGCGGTCCAGCAGTTGCCCTCGCCGTTGTGGATGGCATCGACGAGGCCGGTGTAGTTCCAGTTCTTGATGACGTTGTATGGCCCGTCGTGGATCTCGACTTCGATGGTGTAGCCGCCGTTGTTGATGAGGAAGATGATGCTGTTCTGCCCGCAGCGGAGCATGGTGGACACATCCTGCGCCGTCACCTGGAAGCTGCCGTCGCCGATGCAAGCGATGACACGCTTGTCAGTGGCGCCCTGAGCGTAGCCGAGCAGCGCCCCGACTGACCACCCGATGGAGCCGTACTGCATCTGGAACTCGTACCTGCACGCACGGATCACAAGGCTGCTCATATCAACTTAGCAAAGCCGCATGCAAGTTAATTGATCGGAATACGTACCCGCAGCCGTCGGGGAGCTTGAGTTTCTGGCAGTTGAACCACGAGTCGCCGGTCTCGGCGATGACGGCGCTGTCGCCGGTGAGCATCTTCTGGATGTGCTTGAAGAGCACGTTGACGCGCAGCGGCTCGCCGGGCTCGCTCTCGGGCAGGTGCCCCTCCGGCACCCAGATCCTCTTGTAGTTTTCGTAGGCCGTCGTGTTCTTCTTGAGGCGCTTGCCCAGCTCAGTCAGGAAGTCCTTCATCATGATGCAGCCGAAGGCCGGGCCGTTGCCGACGGTGACGCGGTCGGGCTGCACGATCACCGCCTTCTCCTTCTTGAGCAGGAAGGAGTAGCCCACCGAGCTGTAGTCATTGAAGATGGGGCCGGCGAAGAGGTAGGCGTCCGCCGACTCCACGATCTCGGCGCAGAAGGCCGTGCTCACCGCGCCCCAGTAGGTGCCGAGGAAGCGTGGCAGCGTCTCTGCCACCAGCCCCTTGGCCGACGGCATGGTCGCCACCGCGTAGCCGCTCGCGTCGGCCAGCTCCGCGAATGCCGTGCCTGCCTTGGCCACCCGCAGCTTGGGCCCCGCCACCATCACCGGCTTCACCGCCTTGTCCAGGAAGGCCACCGTCGCCTCCACGGCCGCCTCCAGGCTCATCTGGTTGCTCATCCTGCATGCATTGCACACGTCAATTCATCCGTCATATATATCTTCCCATGCATGCATGCAGCGCATGATCGATCATGGCACGAACGTATCATCAAGAAAATAAAAGCAGGAAAGAACGAAGGGAGCATACAAACCTTGGTGCGAGGAAGTAGGGGACGGGGTCGCGGCTGAATGTGGGGTGGGGGACGGCGGGGAGGTTGCAGCTGACGCTGATGTAGACCGGCTTGCTCTCCTTGAGAGCCGTGGAGATGGCCTTGTCGATCTGCTCATGGGCGTCGTCGAGGTTGTTGACGACGGCCTGGTAGCACGTCACCGGCGTGAAGCACCGCAGCTCCTGAGAGAAATCAGGGAGGCCGATGGTGTGATGAAGAATCCTGTTGGTGCCGTAGTCGTTCGAGTTGGGCCCGCCGACGATGCAGATCAGGGGGAGGTTCTCGCTGTACGCGCCGGCGATGGCGTTGAGCACGCTGAGCCCGCCGACGGTGAAGGTGACGGCGCACGCGCCGACGCCCTTAGCGCGCGCGTACCCATCGGCGGCGTAGCCGGCGTTGAGCTCGTTGCAGCAGCCGACGAGGCGGAGCCCCGGCTCGGCGATGAGGTGGTCGAGGAGGGTCAGGTTGAAGTCGCCCGGCACGGCGAACACGTCGCTCACGCCGATCTGCACCAGGCGCCGCGCCAGGTGGCGCCCCAGCGTGGCGTGCGGGGAGCCGACGAAGGTGGGCGCCGACGCCGGCAACGTCGCCGGGCACGCCACCGCGCCGCTCGGCGCCCCCTTGGGCCCGTCAACGGATCCGATGCCCGTCTCCATGGTAGGTCGGTCGATCGAGGTACGTACGCGAGGAGCGATTGGGAGGCGACAACTATTTTCTTGGGTGGTTTGACCCGTGTTGGTCGTGGCTATTTATATGACGAGAGAATCATGGACGGCAAGTAATAGAGTCCGGCAAAGAGTCTTTGGCCTTCGATTTTGTCGCCTGCTATGTCGCTGCGTCGTGGGGTCGGGAGCCTCCTCGGGGCCACATGTCATCCGGCGGTGGAGGTGGAAGAGGCATTATTTCGTTTGATTTGATTTTAATCGGGTGTTAATACGGAGGGATTTTGGTTTGGACAGCAAGACAAAGTTTTTCTTACGCCACAAGGTGGTCGGGGGCCGGGCCACTTCTTTTTCTCACAAAGTAGCAACAAGTTTCCTTGAAAAAAAAGTTCCACGAGTGAGGACGTCCTAAACCTAGGTGCATCTACACCCGTTTTTCTAAAGCATTTTAAACGCGTTTTAAAATGTCCAAAAAATTAGAAAAACACGTGTACAACTCCGCAAAAAATATGTGCATGGCACAAAGTTTTACGAAAAATTATCTTTCTATTCTGCATCTGCAAAAACAAAAATATTGGTGCTAGAAAATAGTGTTCCATGAGCCCCTTTTTTGTATTTTTGCAAAGGCCCGAAAAAGGCCGCCTATCCGCGAAACTATCTGCACACACACAGAATGTGAAGATATACGCGTGCAACTTCTTTAGATTTTTTTGGCACTGAGAAATATATTTTTAGGTGGGTGCAAATATACCCTGTTTCATCCATATTTTTTTTCAAGTTTCACTCTAAATATGTAATACAATCCACAACTAGGCCAACTGGTCATTTTATTCTATAAGGGAGTCTCCAACACTGACCTGGAAATTTGCTCCGGCATTCGTCCTCGGACAGCGGGAGCAGTCCGTGGACATGATGCGAGAGGCGGCCATCCAATGTTATCCTGTATATATCCGGCAGTAAAGGGCAATTTCAAATTCAAATAAAATATGATCCATAGCGCCCTCTGAATCACATGTCTAATCACAACCAAAAAGAGACAAGTATGCTTAAAGTTTTTACATGCCTAATCACAAAAGAATATCAGTTTGGCAGTCCATGCAAAAAAAATTGCCCCGCCGAACCGGTAATCCGAGCCTCCGAGTTGATGCTCAAGGTGCCGCCGCCATCGCCGCCGCGTATGAATCCTCGGCCTCGGCCTCCTTTTCCGCCGCTACGTCCTCCTCCTTGTCTGCAGCCTCCAACTCATCTTTATGTCGCTGCAATATCTTGTAGTGGACGGCTTGCACGATCATCCTTGCATCGGCATCCAAAGACACCACATTCAATGACAACATCTTGGCGTCCTCTGTATCGGCTGCGATCTTCACCTTCTTTTCTTTGAGCACCGCCTTCTTCTCCTCGGGCATGACCTTCTTCTCTTCGATTATGGCCCTCTTCTCTTCTAGCGCTAGCTTCTTCTCAGTCGCCTCCATCAAAAGTTTGAACCTCTCCGCCTTCTCCTTTATACTTGATGTCCGAGCGCTTGACATATGCCTCCCACTTCTTGGTCAAGATGTCCTCGAACCTCACCGTCATCTTCACCCCACACCTTCTCGCTTCGCCCTCTCCTCCTCCCACTTCTTTTCCCGAAACCCTCTTATAATATTCTTGGGTAGTTCTTTTGTTGGATCGGTTGGGTCACTGGTTTCTCCCTCAGTGGCTTGGGCGGCGGTCTTGGCTATGCATACGTTCCACTTCGGTTTCCCATTCAACTTCAACCAACAATGCATGACGGTGAAGTTTTTCTTCTCCAACTTCTTGAACACCGTACATGCACAAGAAGGCTAAAAAAATATTGTCAACAAAACTACGCACATCTGGCTAGGGATTAATAAAACTATGCACATCTGGCTAGCGATGAACAAAACTATGCACATCCGGCTAGCGATCAACAAACTATGCTCATCCGTCTAGTGATCAACAAAATTACGCACATCCAACTAGTGGTCAACAAAACTATGCACATCCGTCTAGTGACCAACAGAACTATGAACATCCACTCATCTTAACACGCTTCATCAACTGTCTTAGGACATTGATTTCTGCTAAGTGTTGTGCCATGTGACATCAGGAGAAAAACCTTTCTGTGCATTTTCCATTTTAAACTTCTTTAAAACCTTTGTTAATGTACGTGCTTTGGCTTAGCACAATTAGACATCTTGATCTATCTCTATAGATCTTTATGTCTAATATATATAAGCTGCTTCGCCTAAGTCTTTCATCAAAAAACACATTTTCAATTAATCTTTTATTGTGCTAAGAAACTTTAAATCATGTCCAATCAATAATATGTCATCAAACCACGAAACGCATGGCGGAGAATCACTATAATTGGAAGGAGTATTACACTACACGAGAGGACAAACCCTCTACGTGCTAATCTGGTGGAGATCTCTTTCTCATCTATTCTATGACTAGCTGGTACTATATAAAGGGGTAAACAACTCTCTTTCTTGGTGGACATGAAACAGAGTTGTAGTCATGCTACGTCTAGCACGGTTGGCATGCCGTAGTCCGGTGGGACTCCATCTGTAGTACAACACCTGTATGGGATTCGGAACACAATAAAATAACACTCCACCTTGAGACGAAATCCCTTACAATAATCATAGATAGCATCAACTCCTCAATTAAAGTCATCACAAGTAAACCTTGCGCCTGGAAACGTCCATAGGACTAATAAACTTCTCATGAAGTCATATTGAGCAAATCAATCAGTAGGTCGTCCAGAAAACAGCACAACTATCAACAAAGCAGACTAACAAAACTTGGTCTCCCCAAAAAAAGTCTGAGTCTGTGCCACTGACCTCAAAAACTGAAACTGCTCAATCATCAAATGACATAAGTCATCATATCTCCTGTGGTGCCTGAACGAGCGCATAGCTCATAGTGCAACATCTTGGTGCACATCGCATTGTGAAGAACACATCTCACGGAATCTGAACGTGCTTCAAAACAGAAAGCACAAACCTCGGCAAACAATACTCAAGCAAGAGCATATGGTACGGATGGCATCGCGTGCATCCAAAAAACTGCCAACTTGTAGTGGTTAATGAAAATCCATGACATGGTCATAAACTGTCCTTGTAGAACAACTGTCGGATGAAGGAACCATCTTAACATGCAACGGAGTTTCAACTCTGCAATAGACCCCTCTTGAAAGAGCAAAGACAACTGAATTGCACTTGAAACTTAACATCGCTAAATGTTGTAGTATCTAGCAGAAACAAATCAATCTCCTTCTTGCACCTCAACTGATTCTCATCACGAACATGAATATCAAACAAAACCTTCACATGCATAACAACAAAATACTATGGAGAGAATAGAGTATATGCTGGCTACCAACAGGCTTAATAATTACCTCCTCCATACCCTTTTTTTCTTGATATAATTGAATTGTGTTCTTCAAATAACTGCAGCAATATTGCATTCATTATCCCGACGGGCCATAATCCCCAAAACTCCACCTTGAAGAAAAACTGAGTGCATCCTGATAATCGGCTTGCGCCAACAACGCTCGCATCTCGACTTGCCATAGGGTAAACCTTGTGTCACGATTCAGCAGCGGAACATCGTACTTCATGGATGTCATGAGTAGATTAAACATGTGTTCACAAAGTAGTACAAGCCGATAAAAATAATATTCTTAACAGAATAAATTTGCAGGGCAAAGAACCAGAGAGATAGCACCTGGCAGCTTCAGGCAGTGGACGTAGCAGACGAATTTACCGAAGAACGAAAAACTTGATCTGGCATATTTCTTCGGTCTCACGTGAAGAAGTAGTAGGCTAGTAGCAGATCTTAACCTTCATGTGAAGTAGCAAGGGTACTAGTTAATCAGATCTTGAGAACCGTGAGTACTAGTAGTACTGTCTGCACGTCACGATTGAGGAGCAGCTTGTGGACTTGATCGGTCTTCACGCCATAGAAAGTAGCAGCAGCGGCAGCGTGTCCTCGGGACTTGTATCCTATACGCGGGCAGCAGCCACAACTTGGTGGATCCAGCGATGATAAAAAAAACAGCCAGCGGCGATCGATCTCGGACACGTAGAGGAATGTCCGAACTTGATCTGGACCCGGTCGACTGCTCACGTAGGAACTCCTGGCGGCATCTCGGCGAAACCTGCGATTTGACGAATCGCAGGACGGCGGCGGCGGACCAGATCGCAGACCTAATTCCTCTCGTCTCGGACAACCTTCCAATATATCTTGTCTCATTATTAGGAGAAACACCTTCTTTTCTCTTGAAAACCCACTTGCAACGAATAGGTTTCTTCTCTCTAGGCAATTTTACTAAATCACAAGTGCCATTCTTTTCAAGTGATTCCATCTCATCATGCATAGCGGTCATCCACTTATTACTATCACCAGAAATAATAGCCTCGGAATATGAAGAAGGCTCATCATTACCTTCAATTTCTTCTGCAACAGATAAAGCAAAAGAAACAATATTGCACTCTTCAATTAACCTGTCAGGTTTATTAATACCCCGTCTAACTCTGTCACGTGCGAGATTCCAACTGGGTGGAACAATATGCTGATTTGGATTAGGAGTGACATGTTCATCATCAACGACGGGTTCATCATGTGCATCAACATTTTCATTACCAGATGTATCACCTGAATCAATAACATGCTCCACCTGAACAGTAGGATGTTAAAACTGCATTTTTACATGGAGAATTAGAAGAGGATATTTATATGAAACAACCTGAAGGTTTTGTTATTCCTAAAAAAGAAAAGCTTGTCTGCAAGTTAAAGAAATCTCTTTATGGATTGAAGCAATCCCCTAGACAGTGGATTTTCAGATACCTGCGTGGTACTTCTAATGCTTACTTAAAGTTTGGAAAAACTGGAGATGGACTTGTTGGTTTTGTTGATTCTGATTTTACTGGTGGTTTGGATAAGAGAAGATCGCTCACAGGTTATGTTTCCACCATTGGTGGTTGTGC